TCATAAGGTCAGGAGTTCAAGACCAACCTGGCCAAAATGGTGAAACCCCGTCTCTATTAAAAATAACAAAAGTTAACCAGGCATGGTGGCACGCACCTATAATTCCAGCTACTCGGGAGGCTGAGGCAGGGGAATTGCTTGAACCTGGGAGGCAGAGGTTGCAGTGAGCCGAGATCGTACCACTGCACTCCAGCCTGGGCAACAGAGCAATACTCTGTCCCCTACCAATAAAAAAAGGAATGGCAGATGTAATCCTAGCACTGTGGGAGGCCAAGGCTAGAGGCTCACTTGAGGCCAGGAGTTCAAGACCAGTTTAGGCAACATAACAAGACCCCATCTGCACAAAAAATAAAACATAAAAAAATAGCAGGGCATGGTGGCACACACTTGTAGTCCTAGCTACCTGGCAGGTTGAGGCAGGTGGTTTGTTTGAGCCGTGATTGTGCCACTGCACTCCAGTCTGGGCCAGAGCTAAACCTGGACTCAAAAAAAAAAAAAAGTAATGGCAGACAATTTTCCTGAACTGATGGGATGTGAAACCACAGTTCAAGAAACTTAACAAATCCCAGCCAGGTGCAGTGGTTCACGCTGTAATCCCAGCTCTTACGGAAGCAGAGGCAGGAAGATAGCTTGAGCCCAGGAGTTCAAGACCTGTCTGGGCAATATAGCAAGACCCCGTTCTTCACAAAAAGCAAACAACAACAACAACAACACAAGCGTAAGAAGCTTAACAAATCCTTAGCAGCATAAAAAAAAGAAATCCATACCTACATACAGCACAGTGAACGAATAACACCAAAGACAAAGAAAAAAACAATCTTAAAAAGCCATCAGAGGGTTTAAAAAAAAAAGAGAGAGAGATTTCAACTAGGTGCACCTGTAATCTCAGCACTTTGGGAGGCCGAAGTGAGAGGATCACTTGAGCCCAGGAGTTCAAGACCAGCCTGGGCAACATAGGGAGACCCCCATCTCTACAAAAAATAAACAAAAATTAGCCAGGCATGGTGGCAGGCACCTGTAATCCCAGCTACTTGGAAAACTGAGGTAGGAGGATATGCTTCAGCCTAGGAGGCTGAGGCTGCCATGAGCAGTGACTGCACCACTGTACTTCAGCCTGGGCAACAGAGTGAGACCCTGTCTCAAAAAAAAAAAAAAAAAAAAGAGCAAGAGAGAGATTTCTTTTCAATGAGAGACACTGGCTGTTAAGCCTATGTCTCAACAGAAATAATGGAAGCTGGGAGACAGAAGAATGGAAGCTTCAATATGATAAGAAAAAATAACCATCAACCTAAGCTCTATACTCACATAAAATACTGTTTTAGAGAGGAATATAATTTACCATATTAAGAGAATAAAAATTTTAAAATCATACAGTCATCTCTACAAATGCACAAAAAGCATTTGACAAAATTCAACATCTATCCATAATTAAAACTCTAGGTGTACTAGAAATGCAGAGAACTGCCTCAACCTGATAAAGGACACCTGTGAAAAAGCCACAGCTGACATCCTTCCTACTAGTGAAAGACTGAATGCCTTCCCCCTTAACTCGGAAACAAGACACAGATGTCTGCTTTCTCCACTTCTACTCAACATTGTAACTGAGGGCTTAGCCAACACAACAAGGCAAGAAAAAAAAAGGCATTCAGAATAGGAAAGAAGCCTGGGGGTGGTGGCTCATGCCTGTAATCCTAGCACTTTGGGAGGCTGAGGCAGGCAGACTGCCTGAGTTCAGTAGTTCGAGACCAGCCTGGGAACACAGTGAAACCCTGTCTCTCCTAAAATAAAAAAAAATTAGCTGGGCATGGCAGCATGCGCTTGTGGTCCCAGCTACTTGGGCAGCTGAGGCAGGAGAACTGCTTGAACCCGACAGGTGGAGGTTGCAGTGAGCCAAGATCACACCACTGCACTCCAGCCTGGGAGACAGAGAGACTCTGTCTCCAGAAAAAAAAAAAAAAAAACAGAATAGAAAAGAAGTAACAATCGAAGAAAAACATAGTGTAAAAACAAATCAAAACAATACAGGAAGTAAAAAAAGGTTAATGCAGGAGAGACAAATAGCACAAAAGATGCAAATATAACCCCAGAATATCAATAGCTACATTAAATTAATTAATTAATTTTTGAGACAAGGTCTTGCTATGTTGCCCAGGCTGGAGTGCAGTGGCACCAATCATGACTTACTGCAGCCTCAACCTGCTGGGTTCAAGTGATCCTCCTACCTCAGCTTCCCAAAGTGCTGAGATTACAGGCATGAGCCACAGCACCCACCTGGCCCTCTACATTAAATTTAAATGGAATGCTCCTGCTTTTAAAAAAAGAAATACTGCCAGGTGCGGTGGCTTATGCCTGTTATCCCAGCACTTTGGGAGGCCGAGATGGGCAGATCACCTGAGGTCAGGAGTTCAAGACCAGCTTGGTCAACATGGTGAAACCCTGTCTCTAGTAAAAATACAAAAATTAGCCGGGCGTAGTGGCGCACACCTGTAATTCCAGCTACTCAGGAGGCTGAGGCAGGAGAATTGCTTGAACCTGGGAGGCGGAGGTTGCAGTGAGCCAAGATCGTGCCATTGCACTCCAGTCTGGGTGACAAAGCAAGACTCTGTCTCAAAAAAAAAAAAAACAAAAAAAACAAAGAAATACCACAATAGTTTTTGTTTTTGTTTTTGTTTTAAGACAGAGTCTCTTGCTCTGTCACCCAGTCAGGAGTGGAATGGTGCAATCTCGGCTCACTGCAATCTCTGCCTCCCGGGTTCCAGTGATTCTCCTGCCTCAGCCTCCTGAATAGCTGGGGTTACAGGAACCCACCACCACGTCCAGCTAGTTTTTTGTGTTTTTACTAGAGACAGAGTTTCACCACATTGGCCAGGCTGGTCTTGAACTCCTAACCTCAGGTGATCTGCCTGCCTCAGCCTCCCAAAGTGCTGGGATTACAGGCGTGAGCCACCGCACCCAGCCTAATTTTGCATTTTTAGTAGAGACGGGGTTTCTCCATGTTGGTCAGGCTGGTCTTGAACTCCCGACCTCAGGTGATCTGCCCACCTCGGCCTTCCAAAGTGCTGGGATTACAGGCGTGAGCCACCATGCCCGGCTACAATAGATGTTTTTTGTTTGTTTGTTTTTGTTTTTTTTGAGATGGAGTCTCACTCTGTCACCCAAGCTAGAATGCAGTGGCGTGATATCGGCTCACTGCAACCTCCGCCCAGGTTCACACCATTCTCCTGCCTCAGCCTCCGGAGTAGCTGGGACTACAGGTGCCCGCCACCGTGCCTGGCTAATTTTTTTTTTGTATTTTTAGTAGAGACGGGGTTTCACAGTGGTTTCAATCTCCTGACCTCGTGATCCACCCGCCTCGACCTCACAAAGTGCTGGGATTACAGGCATGAGTCACCGCGCCCGGCCTACAATAGATGTTTTTAAAGACATTTGTAAAATATACAAATGGCAGGCCGGGTGCGATGGCTCACACCTGTAATCCCAGCACTTTGTGAGGTCGAGGCAGGTAGATCACCTGAGATCGGGAGTTCGAGACTAGCCTGGCCAACATGGAGAAGCCCCGTCTCTACTAAAAACACAAAATTAGCCGGACATGATGGTGCATGCCCATAATCCCAGCTACTCAAGAGGCTGAGGCAGGAGAATCACCTGAACCCGGGAGGTGGAGGTTGCAGTGAGCCAAGATCACATTATTACACTCCAATCTGGGCAACAAAAACGAGACTCCGTCTCAAAAAAAAAAAAAAAAAAAAAAAGCCAAAAGGTGAAGTGAAAGGGTAAAAGCTGACCCGTTAGGAACCCTCAGGCAGAACTGACATGTGTGCGGCCCTGTGCACCACTCCCAAGAGCACCTGGAAGTTCTTAGTGGATAACTGTGTGCATCTATGACATGGCAACTGCACAACTAGATGTGTTTCCAAGAAAATTATTACACAGCTCCATAAAAGGAGGTATACCAGATGCCCACTGAAGCTATCTATCGTGATAACCACTGTGGACTCACACCATTCAGAGGGACACAGCATTAGTGGGCAAGAGCCAGACATGCCACAGCAATGTGGCTAGGTCTTACACTACAAGACCTACAAGTTCTTACTTTGCAAGAACTCAAGTAATAAAAAGGATGCACCTTATACATAGCAGACAGTTGCCCGTGGGGTGGGAAGGGAATGAAATGGTCCTGAGATATTAAAGTAAATATATAGGCTAGGCACAGTGGTGCACACCTATAGTTCCAGCTACTCAGGAGGCTGAGGGAGAAGGATGGCTTGAGCCCAGGAGTATGAGACCAGCCTGGGCAACATGGTGAGACTCCATCTCACAAAAATAATTATGTAAGACAGCGGGGGTTGGTCTTGCCCAGACCCAGGATAATCACCTGCCATGAGCAGAGGAGTATGACCATCTCAACCCTCTACACATGAGGCCAAACAAAGGAAATACAGAATACGGCAAACAGCCACACACAGGGGCCTGGAACCTTGGTCCCAGCCATGAAACCGTCTACACCCAACATGCAGGGAAATTCATAGGCTGCACTGGGAGGACACGGATAGAGCTCACACTGGGTCACATGCTTACGCACTGCGCCCTACAGGCTCCACAAGAGGGTCCCTGAACAAAGGATACCCTTTGGGGGCATGTGCATACTTTGGGGTACAGTCAAGCCCAGGTACCCACCGTGAGGATGTATCTTGGCACAGGTACACACCTGGGGTGAGCCACAGGACCAGCTGAGGCCAAGGACCCCTAAGAAACCTGCTCAGCCCAAGGCTCAGCGAGCCAGAGCCCTCAGGGTAGGGAGGAGATGGACAGGGGATTAACTGAGCAGGTCTAGGGGGTCCAGCCCAGAACAGGAGATCCCTAAACCCTCTGCTCCAATGCTCTGGCCACCACCTGGAGAGGGCTGAGAGGCCAGAGGTGCAGAGCTATTTCTCTTCCACATACTCTCCTGCGAGGCACAGGCTCAAGCCACCCACCCTGTGGCCCACCGCTGCACCCACCTGGCCTCAGGCACAACACACCTTTCCTTGGTCCACACAAATTTCTTGAGCACGTCAGAGCAGCAGTATTGGTCATAACAGGTACCACAGCAGAAATCTGGACAGGACTCGGGGAAGAGGCTGAGTCCATGGGAAGCCGTACACACCTCACCATGCGCTGGAGAGGAGAAACACATCTGTTCATCTGTGCCCACAGGGCCAGGCCCCAGCAGACACAGTGCCCTCCCTGGCACAGCCACCAGACCACACACATGCTGCACCATCTCTGAGCCACCCTAGCCACAGGCCATCTTCTGACCCCTGGCCACTGCTCCCCCTCAGCCTTGCCCTATCCCAAAGGCCACAACAGAGCTGCCCTATCTGGGCTCCTTCTCTCCCTCGCCAGTGCACTGGCCTCCTGATAGGAGGGTGAGCTTTCTCAGTGTGAGTCTGATGGGGCCACACCCTGCTTTCAGACCTCCCCTAACTCCCACTACTTCAGGATCAAGGCCCCGAGTTTCCAAGCAGGGTCTAAACTGCAAAGAGTCCTGAAGATCACTCCAGCTCTCCAACCTGTCCACACTCTGTTCACATTCTTGCCTGGTTCCTATCCCTTGCCCTTCAACTCTACTCATCCTTCAAGGCCCTACTCCAGGCAGCCTCCTCCAGAAGCTGCCCAGGCAAGAAGTCACACAGCTCAACACCTGCAGGAGATCAGACACTGGACTGTCTGTTTCTTTCTTTTTTTTTTTTTTGAGACAGAGTCTCGCTCTGTTGCCCAGGCTGGAGTGCAGTGACACGATCTCAGCTCACTGCAACCTCTGCCTCCCAGATTCAAGCAATTCTCCTGCCTCAGCCTCCCGAGTAGATGGGATTACAGGCGCCTGCCACCAGGCCCAGCTAATTTTTTGTATTTTTTAGTAGAGACAGAGTTTCACCATGTTGGCCAGGCTGGTCTTGAACTCCTGACCTCAGGTGATCCACTCACCTTGGCGTCCAAAGTGCCAAAATTACAGGGATAAGGCACCACGCCCCAGCCAGACTGTCTGGTTCTTAATCCTCATTCACTCTCCCTCTCACTCAGCCATAGCAGCCTCAGCCCCTGCTGGGCACCACAACGGCAGGGGCCTGGCTCTCACGGACCACCCCATGACCGTGATGGTAGGCTAGCTCCTGGTCAGCGGAGCTTGCAGTGAGCCGAGATCGCGCCACTGCACTCCAGCCTGGGCAACAGCGTGAGACTCCGTCTCAAAAAAAAAAAAAAAAAAAAAAAAAAGAAATTGTCACACCCACCATACCAGTGTTCACAAAGCACTTAGCCCTGCTCTGGGCCTGCAGCAGTTATCCAGGAAATGTCTGTTTCTTCCAGGAGTTTGAGACCAGCCTGGGCAACAGGGCTCCAAGGCAGTGGCACCATCTGTAGCCCTGGAGCCATCACAAGCCTCTCAGCACAGAGTTGGGATCTAATGACATCCTTACAAGTCTCAATATACAAGGTCATGCTGAGGGGATCTGGCTGACAACAAATGTGGAAAATGTCCCAGGGTTTTGGATGACCACAAGGTTTACAAACCTCCAGGAAGATGCTACAGTCAAATGTTCCCATGTATCCTCAGGCTACATTAGCGGAGACCTGTGCCCACTAGCAGGAAGGAACAGTACCAGATTCTGCCAGAGCAGACTCCAAAGAGAACACCTAGTCCAGCAAGGCCCACAAGTCCACAGTAGTCAGGGGACAGGCCTGATGATAGCCCTGAGGCATAACTAGGTTGGCCTGGAAACAGTCTGGCATAGCACGTGGCCTCTGGAGACCCAGCCAGGCCAGGCACCTGGCCATGTGCAGCATCTGGTGCCCAAGCCTGATCAGGGCACCACACATCCTGAGGCTGTCAGTAGAGTGAAGCCCAGAGACAGACACTGAGTGACCTCCTTGGGAAGAGGGAACTTTAGTGGGGAATTGGGGGGAACTGCACTTCTTGGCAGCTCCAGGCAGAACCCTGCTCTTGGCAAAGCCATGGAGCAGAGGATTGGACCATTGACCAGCCCAGCTTGGCCAGCTGCCCACCTGAAACCTGGTACCATCAGCATGGCCTGCGCCTGGTAGCTCAGGTGAAAACACATGGAGCAGGGTCTTCACAGCCCAACCTCTGAGCTAGGGCTGAAGACACACCGGTGAGGCTGTTAAGGCTGAGTCCGTGGCACAAATGCGCTCTGACCCCCAGACCTCACTGAATCTGTGACCCTCCTACAGGCTCACTCCAGGGGTGGGGGATTTTGGGCACAGGTCTCCCCTTTCTCATTTCTCTGGCCCAGGTCCTCTGGATTCATCCCAGCCCCCAGGAAATATAGCCTTGACCCCCATGAAGCCACCCACCCCAAAAGGGTCTTTGGCTTCTCCTGGGTGGGCAGGGGGTTGTTCCAATTCCTAACCCTTTAAAGGGCCCGCCCCCAGCCAGCCTTCCAGAGTCTGTGAATTATCTATCTGCAACCAACACACACAGTGGTGTCTCCACCCCAGAGGACAGCCTCAGCGCCAGGCTCTCCAGCAACACAAGGGCCAATGGAGGCAGCGGTGGGGGATCCCAGACATTAAACACAGGCAAAGAGGGAAGGCCTCTGATGGAGGGGCCAGGCCGCCCTGTAGCCACCCGCCAGACTAAAGCTAGGTGCGGGAACCCTACCCTAGCCTCTGGGGATCCCATCCCCAGGGACAAGGGCGGAAGGGCAGACCCTTCCCCACCGTTCCAGGACAGACAAAGGTGGCAGCTGCCTGGGGTCTGCGCAGGGTTGTTCAGGAAAGGAGGGTACTCAGGTGAAGGAGAGGTCCGCAGTCGTGGGGGGACGCTGACGGCCTCGGGGCAATCAGGGGTCTGTGGGGGACATGGTGGGGCTGGTGCTGCCCGGCTCGTTGAAGCGGCAGCGCGGGTAAGTGTCTGCCCGGTCCCAGGGCAGGACGGGCAGCCCCCACCCTCGGCTCACCACCCGGAGGCGGCGGTAGCAGCAGCAGCAACAGCAACAGGATCCGCAGCGCGGAGACCGGCGCAGCCATGGCTGGGCGGACGGACGGGCGGACGGACTGACGGACGCGAGCGCGGGGCGCGGTGCCGCCACTGCCTCAGTGATCCGCGCGGCCGCCCCCTCCCTCGCCCCGCCCAGCCCCGGCCCGGACGGTTCCCGGAACCCCCGCCCGGGAAAGGAGGAGGGGGAGGGAGAGGAGGGGGAGAGGGAGGGGGAGAGGGAGGGGGAGGGGGGGAGGAGGAGGAGGAGGAGGAGGAGAAGGAGGAGGAGGAGGGAGGAGGAGGGAGGAGGAGGGAGGAGGAGGGAGGAGGAGGGAAGGAAGCGAATGCCTTCCCAGCCTCGGGGCCAGCTCCGCGCCCGGGGTCTGCGTGAAAACTTGGACCGTTCCCGGACCGGATGCTTGGGGGGTAGGGGCGGCCCACAGCTCTCAGGCCGGGAGGGCGTCCCCGGGAATATGCACCCTAACTCTGAGCGCCTACTGTGTGGGCGGTGGGGGGCAGCCACAGCCATCCCTCCCAGCCGCGGTCCCAGCGGAGCCTCACTTGCCCGAGGACTAAGTGAGGCGGTGCGAGGACAGTGCCCAGCGCAGACCTTGGCACTCAGTAGACACTCCACAAATGCCGGTTCCCTTCTGCAAGCCCAGTCACCACCTCAGAGGACACGCGATCTCCTGCCCCCTGGGACTGATACCCTCATCCCAAGGTGATCCCCAGCCTCAGCCCTGGCAGGCTCAGCGCTGGCGCAGTGGGCCAGGACTGAGCTAGAAACTGGCAGCTCCCAGGGCACAGCCAGGTCAACTTCCCGCACAGGGCTCTGCCCCCTCACTGCGGGGCAGGGGTCCAGGCAGAATCAGGGATGTTGAGTCGTTCTTCCTTTTATGCCCAGAGTTCCTGACCCACCCCCACTCTGCACCTGGCACAATCAGAACATTTCACTCAAGACAGAAAACATGAAATGTCACGCTAATGAGGCACCCAGGCCGGGTTGTGCACCCTGTGTGCCACCATATATTTCTCACCTAAAGGTGGGGGCATCGCTGTAGACGAAGAGGAACCGAAAGGGACAATCTGGGATGTTCCCAGCAGTTTCCCAGGCTAGGGTGTTAGAACCGGGAGAGGAAGGCCTGGGTCTCCAATAAGCCCCCATCACCTCCTGGCCAAGAAGGGCTTAAGACTCACCGTGCTCAGCACACATGTGGGGCGCAGGGATATGACTGTCCCCAGGCAGGATGCCCTCTGGGAGAGTCTTAGTATGGGACTGGAGTCACATCCTCCCTGACAGCCCAGCCTTGTTATCCCACCTCTGCCTCTTGAGCTCCACTCTCCAAAGCTGGGTGCAGCCCAGGTCTCCCTTCTGCAGAATGGACACTGCATGCCCCTCATGTCCAGCTCTAGAGCCATCCTGTGTTCCACACCCTGGGTGCCCAACCCTCTGCCTCCCTAAAGGTTGCTCATTCCACTCTGCACCATTCACAAGCTTGGTTTCTTTTCCCTTGGTTTTCCACTCCCTGCCCTCTAGCCAAGCTCCTAAGAGTTGTCCTAAGCCTGGGCAGCATAAGGAGACCCCGTATCTACAGAAAATTTTTAAATTAGCTGGGTATGGTGGCACGTACCTGTGGTCTCAGCTACTTGGGAGGCTGAGGTGGAGGATCATTTGAGCCCAGGAGATGAAGGTTGCAGTGAGTTATGATTGCGACACTGCACTCCAGTCTGGGCAACAGAGCAAAACCCTGTCTCCGAAAAAGAAAAACAAGGCTGGGCGCGGTGGCTCACGCCTGTAATCCCAGCACTTTGGGAGGCAGAGGCGGGCAGATACCTGAGGTTGGGAGTTTGAGACCAGCCTGGCCAACATGGAGAAGCCCCTTCTCTGCTAAAAATACAAAATTAGCCGGGCATGGTGGTGCATGCCTGTAATCCCAGCCACTCGGGAGACTGAGGCAGGAGAACTGCTTGAACTCAGGAGGCAGAGGCAGAGGTTGTGGTGAGCCGAGATCACACCACTGCACTCCAGCCTGGGTGACAGAGCGAGACTCCATCTCAAAAAAAAAAAAGGAAAGAAAAAAAAGAATTGTCCTTTCCCACCTCCCATGCCTTCCTTTGGCTTCTCTACTCTGCTGCCCCTACCCCCAGATCCTTTAGGGGCCTCTCACCTGGCTTCCTCCCTGCCTTTTTAGTCTTTGGCTCTCACACACCCTCTTATCTGCCCACAGCTCATGGTTGAGCTTGGTGGGTGTTTTGGGCCCCACCCAGGGCTGTGCATGGGCAAGAGAGTGGAGGCTAGGATCACCCCAGTAGCTCGGAAATTGCAACCATGCATCTCACAGGCATATGCCCACGTGTGCAGGCATTTTCTGTGGGTCAGGCTGACAAAGCCTGGAAATACAAGTTGCCTGGGGAAAGTGACCCCTCCAAGGCAGAAACCAAACTTGGCCCAGATGCTGTACCAAGGCTAGGTAGCTCTGTAAACAGCACTTTTTTTTTTTTTTTTTTTTTCTGGAGACAGGGTCTCACTCTGTCACCCAGGCTGGAGTACAGTCACGGCTCACTGTAGCCTCAGTTTTCCCAGGAAACTGGGGTGATCCTCCCACCTCACTCTTCGGAGTAACTGGGACCACAGATGCACACCATCACATCCAGATAATTTTTTTTTTTTTTTTTTTTTTTTTTTTTTTTTTTTTTTTGAGACGGAGTCTCGCTCTGTAGCCCAGGCTGGAGTGCAGTGGCCGGATCTCAGCTCACTGCAAGCTCCGCCTCCCGGGTTCACGCCATTCTCCGGCCTCAGCCTCCCGAGTAGCTGGGACTACAGGCGCTGCCACCTCGCCCGGCTATTTTTTGTATTTCTTAGTAGAGACGGGGTTTCACCGTGTTAGCCAGGATGGTCTCGATCTTCTGACCTCGTGATCCGCCCATCTCGGCCTCCCAAAGTGCTGGGATTACAGGCTTGAGCCACCGCGCCCGGCCCAGATAATTTTTGTATTTTTTGTCGAAATGGGGTTTTGCCATGTTTCCCAGGCTGGTCTCAAACTCCTGGGCTCAAGCAGTCTGCCCGCCTCAGCCTCCCAAAGTGCAAGAGCACTTTTATTAAACTCTCCTCAAATACCCAGTTTGATAAGAATGACTGTTTTCTGCTGGGACCTTGGTTACAGTTTGTAGGTGAGAACTTTGCATCAGGCTGTTGGGGCAAAGCAACACCGATTGATGCTTGTAAAGCCCAGGGTGAGAGTGACCAGTGAGGATGAGGCCATCAGCCCAGCCCCAGGACTGACCGCAGGGCTAGGATGGGTGAGTTCTACAGTAGAACACTTGCCATTCTTCTTCATTCAGCACCTGGTCCCCTTTCCTCCACATCAGAGGAGGAACATTCTAGATATTATCTTTTTCAGATTCCTTTGCCCCAGGGCAAGTGCTTTTGCCCTAGCCCCAACCAATCAGACGTAGCCTCCCTGGAGTCAGTCAGGGGCACTGGTGCCGGCTTTGATGGAGGGCTGCAGCAGTCCTGGCAGCAACATGAGTCTGCACCTGTGGGGAGGGCTGTGTGAGTCACAAAGGCCCCTGCTTCCCCCTGGTGGCAGGAGAGTCAGTTTCCTCCAAATGATAGAGAAATTCTCACCAGGGCCAGGCACAGTGATGACTCATGCCTGTAATCCCAGCACTTTGGGAGGCAGAGGTAGGCAGATACCTCTTGAGCGCAGGAGTTCGAGACCAGCCTGGGCAACATGACAAAACCCTGTCTCTACAAAAAATACAAAAATTAGCTGGGCGTGGTGATGCACACCTGTAGTCCCAGTTACAAGGGAGGATTGCTTGAGCCCAGGAGGCAGAGGTTGCAGTGAGCTAAGATTGCACCACTGCACTCCAGCTTGGGCAACAGAGCAAGACTCTGTCTCAAAAAGGGAAAAAAAAGGCCGGGCGCGGTGGCTCAAGCCTGTAATCCCAGCACTTTGGGAGGCCGAGACGGGCGGATCATGAGGTCAGGAGATCGAGACCATCCTGGCGAACACGGTGAAACCCCATCTCTACTAAAAAATACCAAAAAAACTAGCCGGGCGAGGTGGCGGGCGCCTGTAGTCCCAGCTACTTGGGAGGCTGAGGCAGGAGAATGGCATAGACCCGGGAGGCGGAGCTTGCAGTGAGCTGAGATCCGGCCACTGCACTCCAGCCCGGGCGACAGAGCGAGACTCTGTCTCAAAAAAAAAAAAAAAAAAGGGGGAAAAAAAAAAACACCTTAGAAAAAAAAAGAAAACGTCTGGACGAGGTGGCTCAAGCCTGTAATCCCAGCACTCTGGGAGGCCGAGGCAGGTGGATAACCTGAGGTCAGGAGTTCAAAACTAGCCTGGCCAACATGGCGAAACCCCATCTCTACTAAACATACAAAAAAATTAGCCAGGCATAGTGGCATGCACCTATAATCCCAACTACTCAGGAGGCTGAGGTGGGAGAATCACTTGAACCCAGGAGGCAGAGGTTTCAGTGAGCCAAGATCGCACCACTGCACTCCAGCCTGGGCGACAGAGACTCAGAGGCCAGTCAAAAGTCCCAGGGGGGCCCAGATGCTGTGACTCACACCTGTAATCCCAGCACTTTGGGAGCCCCAGGTAGGAGGATCATTTGAGCCTAGGAGTCCAAGATCAACCTGGTCAGGCTGGGTGCAGCGACTCATGCCTGTAATCCCAGCACTTTGGGAGGCCTAGGCAGGTGGATCTCTTGAGCCCAGGAGTTCGATTCCAGCTTGGGCAACATGGCAAAACTCTGTCTCTACAAAAAAAAAAAAAATTAGCCAAGTGTGGTGGTGTGAACCTGTAGTCCCAGCTACTCAGGAGGCTGAGGTGGGAGGATCTCTTGAGCCGAGGAGGTCAAGGCTGCAATGAGCTGTGATTGCACCACTGCACTCCAGCCTAGGTGACAAAGCAAGACTCTGTCTCTTGAAAAATCAAAATAAAACAAAAACAAACAAACAGACAAAAAAACAAGTCCGGTGGGGGCCAACTGTATTTCTGACTGGGCTGACTATAAATTAGGGGTTCTTACAACCCCCTCCTCAGGTTCTGTGCTTCACCTGAGTAGCTCACAGAGTTCATGAGAATACTTTACTTATAT